ACCCCAAAACCCCAAAACCCCAAAACCCCAAAACCCCAAAACCCCGGTTTTGTATAGAGATATTGAGATGTAATATTTATGAAGTAGCAGAAGGGCTCAAATGTTTAGTCTTATTTATTATATAGAAGAGAGAGGTGTGAGGAGCTTTAGAAGGTTTTGTGACTGCTAAAGGAGTAAATTGGAACTAATTTTGTATTAGATAAGAGAATTTAGAGAATTTTCAGTTTATAGGTGCAGTTATAACCAGTAAGATGATGCTCTGAGGATAAGACTGTAAAGAATAATAGAAAATCCATGTTATTTTTCTAGTATTTTTGCATCAGGAAGAGCCTTTGAATGTGTATACTGCTTATTTTGGAAGAGTGATTAAACGAATAAGCTTTAATAGAAAGTGTTTCAGATAATGGATTTATATAAGAATGCTTTAGGTGTACAACACATTATCCTAAAAATTGTTCAAGGTTATTTGATATAAAAAAGAGTTGGTTGAGTTAAAAGCTTAGTTTTAATTCAAAATTGTGTTGTCTTCGAGCCTAACACGAAAGTAAATATAATAGTATATGCTCTTTTCTGATAATTACACAAAAAAGGTCAGGCTTTTCTTGCTTTAACTACCAAAAATCCACATTTCTGTTGTATTAGCATTTACTGGATAATTATTTTAAATTGTTTTAGAAATTTTCTTTATAGGTTTTAAAGTTAGCTCAGACGTATCTTAAAGCAAGTTAAATCATTTCTAAAACTTTAATGAGTAAGAGAAACAAAACTTTATGCATAAGTACCAAATATCTTACACGATTTTAGACAGAATGAAAGTTTCTTAAAAACTTTTCTTTCCAAATATAGAGGAAGTCTGGCAATTTTAATAATCAAAAGCAATGATGTAATTAAAGTATAGTTTCGATTTTCAAAATTCTTGAGGAGTCATTAGAACACATGATTAGGAGTCTGAAATTATTTGGCAAAGAAAACATATAAAGAAAGTAAGTGTTGATTAAAAGCGGTTATTTGCTCCATATCTTGAAGATTAAGTGAAAAAGAAGGTTGAGGATAAAAACAATATAAAGTTCTACAACAACTTGGTATTCTTTTTAGTTCTAAAGTATTTTATCTACTTATATTTGTATTAGCAAGTATTTGGTTAGCTATCCCGAGTTCCCTTTTGAGGTTTCTTTATTTCTTAAAGGTCTTTCTCCAGTAGCCTCGAGCATGAGGCTCAAGACTGGCCTTTTATTTGAGAGTTGATATCGATCCGAAAGTGAAGGAACAGAAGAGTTATTACTTCCTTCATCTCCCTTCACCCCGAAGAAGCACCTTAAGCACTGAAGGAATACCTCAAGATGTGTATTAAAGTAGAGCAGTGAGCCTGTGAAGAGTAGTTCAGAAGAAACTTTAGGAAGGGATTCAAGAGTTTGGAGAAGGGGTGCAGGGAGGGCAGGTGTGTGGCTATATTTTAGTCTGCTGTTAGTAAGCATTTTGATGTCCTTAGGCGCTTTCTGCAGAGTATTAATGAGGTGTATTGTTTTTGGTAAGTTACTTGTGTGGGAATGGTTTTTCTTTTCATGGTAATAAGAGTCTTTTGGGAGTCTTTATCTAAAGAGAAAGCTTGCCTGTGGTTTTTTTAATCTAGGGGCAGGTTAGTACTTGTAACTTCTTCAGATCCAGCAAGTAATCTTTTGCTAATTCAGGTTTTATTAAGGATTCTTCGAAATCTTTGATAGTCCTTCTCTTTGAGGGTATTGGCTGTGTCAGTCATATCTCTGAATCTTCTATGTCTCCTTCATTTTCTTAGAAAATGAACAGGGCTAAGGAACCTTCTGGGTTTCTTTATAAGTCATTTTATTGTGATTTTCATTTGATAAAATACAATAAATCTTCAATTTTTTCTGCATTACAAGGGGTTTTGGGGTTTTGGGGTTTTGGGG